GTTCATATTGAAAAATCGACCGAAAAACGCAGTTATCGAATCGTGTCTTTCGTCGATATAATTGTGTTGAATTTCCATGTTAACTCAAAATTAACTCCTATTTCATTCTTTATTACTAATTAACAATTCTTTGATTTGTAAGTATAATATAAAAATAAATATTTATTATAGAAATTAAATGTAGTGTGAAATTGATTCTTAATAATTAAATATTGTAGTTTTTACGGAAGAATTATAAAGTAGTTGTTACTTTTATGGCAAACACGTATAAAAATTGAAGGGCCTGATACAAAACTTTTTTGTTAATTATGAATAAATGGTCTACAATTAATTTTCGTCAGAAACGAAAATATACTTTTCTAAGAGCATTTTTCACGTTTATTTCAATTCTGCAATTATATTTATTCCATCACCACTAATTTTTGATATTATTAATAGTTAGTTAAAAACGAGTATTAAAAAAAGCTAAAAGTTATTACCATGATTTTTATCTCAACTTACTACTAGTTTGAAATTGACATCTTTAAATAGAAAATTTTATGAGAATTAAAAAGATGATTTTGTTAAGATTAATATGCTTTCAGGAAATTTTATAATTACTATTTATAGTTAGACACACCCTACCACCTCTATCTTTTTCCATTTGTCTATTACATTAATCATAGATATATTAACATAGATTATATGACATTGATTATTTTCATATACTTTTAGTTATTAACTAGTGGTCTGCAATTTTTTAACCAATTTACAATTGAAAGTGTATTAACTAATTGANTTTTTTAACCAATTTACAATTGAAAGTGTATTAACTAATTGACGTACAAAATAAGTAAAATAAAATTACATGATAACAATGTTTTATAAGTGTCAAATAGCTTTATTTGATTTAAACAGATAAATGAACAAAAAAATTTAACACTAAAGCAAAAAAAAAAAATTAAAATGTAACAACAAGCAAATATATAAATAATAAACAAAGCAATAAGATGATTAGTTATGAAAATACA